TAATACATATACTCTCTTCTCTCTATATAGGCAAAGCATTTAGGTATTATATTTGAAATTAATTATTGCCACAACAAGCATTGTTGCTTCTAGTAAAATAGAAGAGAATAATTTTTAAAATTGGTCTTAGATTAAGGTCCTTGAAAATTTTGTTGAGGTCCTTGAAAAGTCCTGGAAAGTCCTTGAATTTCAATCTCATCATAGAGTGGGAACCCTGTAATAGTGAAATATTTGAGTTTAATTTTTAATTGAATGGTATATAAAAAAAAAGAAGAAAAAAAAGTTCTAAAAATATAAAACAGCTGCATCCTGTGAAACTTTTGATTCATATAGTTTTCGGTAGGTTTTACATAAAAACGTGTTTGCTTCAGTACCCACATAAGTGTATTATTTTCCCTTTACCACAATTAGTTCCCTTTACCACAATTAGTTTAGAATGTGATATTTTCTTTACGTCAAAACGAAAATCGCTAAGTGAAACAAAATATAATCAACAATCCTTTAACCACGGACAAAATTTCAGAAGAAATCAGCAGAGTCCAAAACACTACCGTCAACAACCGTTCGACAACAAGCAAAAAAATAACTCATTGCAAAGCTTTAATCGTAATTCATATGAGAGAAATCCTACAGAATACCAATCACGAAATAATTCCCGCGAAAGATTTCCCAGAAACGAAACTAATTCAAATCGTAGATTTAACTCAAATCGAGACCCTGTTTGCAAAGTCGAAGCTAAAATACTAAGCATGAATTACAATATGAAAAAATTTTCGTTAATGATAAACTAGTCGTTCAATCGTTAGTTGATTCGGGAGCCAATATTATTTGCGTCCGAGAACAATTAATTCCCTCCAAAACAATACGTGTCGGAGCTGTTCAATTAACTTGTGCTTTCGGAAATGAAGTACAAGCTGAACTTTCAAAAATAAAATTAGCACTTCCAAGTTTTCGTGAAAATCCCATAACAGTAACGGCAGCCGTTTGTAAAAATCTTTATTGTGATTTAATATTTCCCCAAATATTTTGGATGATTTAAGCAAAAAAAGAATATGATCGAATTTCAGAAGGAAATATGATTTCTCCTTATTCTAAAACAAAATTTCCTTTGCATAAAAACGAACAACAAAATACTATCGAATTAAACTCAATGTCTAAAAATAAAAATAAAATTACTACTTCTTTCATTTCCAATACAGAAAACGATAATTTTTCTCCCCCAGTTTCTAAAAATAGATCTGACAAGCGTGTAATACAGTCGCGTCAATTAGACGAAGGTCAGTCTTTCTTTGAGATTGAGAATAATAATGAACCACTCCCTTTTCTAACTGAAACCGAAAATTTGTTATGCGAACGCAAAAGTACTTCTACTCAAAATTTATTTGAAAAACAAATAAATGAGTTTGATTCAATGACGTCTGCGCGTAATAGGAAAGCGGAAACTGTCCAATCACGTGATCAGCGTGTTTTTTCCGATGTAAATAAACAAACCGAAACCGATATATTTTCGTCAGCCGAAGCAGAAACAAACTATTTTAATTCTTCAAATCCGGAAAATAAAGAGATTAAAAATGCGTTTATTGAAAATACAGATTATTGTTTATCTGATATAAATATAGTTTACGCCGATGTTGATTTATCTCATTTGAAATCCGATATGCGTGCCGAAATTGAACGACTTATTAAATCTTATAGGCCAAATAAAATTAAGAACACTAATTATGAAATGCAAATTTTTCTACAAGATGAAATGCCAGTCCATCAACGTCCACGCCGCCTATCTATTTTCGAGAAATTAGAAGTTAATAAGCTAATTAAAGAAATGTTAAACAAAGGTATAATTAGAGAAAGCACTTCAGATTATTCTGCTCCAATAGTCTTATGTAAAAAACAAGATGGCTCAACTCGCATTGCGATTGATTTTCGATGTTTAAATAGGAAGTTAATTAAAGAAAGATTTCCACTTCCAATTATGGTTGACATTTTCGATAGACTACAAGGTGCTTCAGTCTTTACAAATCTGGACTTAAGAAATGCGTTTCACCACGTAGACATTCATCCTCAAAGCCGCAAATACACTTCATTTGTGACACCAGATGGACATTTTGAATTCAACAAAGTTCCTTTCGGCCTTTCCAATTCACCAGCAGTATTTCAACGATTTATACAAATTATTTTTCGAGAACTCTTAGAAGACGCGGGACATTGGCTTTATATTTGGACGATGTGATTGTTCCATCAGATGATGAGTCCGAAGGTCTTCAAAAACTCCAGAAAGTTTTCAAAGTAGCTTCCGACTATGGACTTGAATTTAATTTCAAAAAATGAAATTTCCTGCAAAGAAAAATTACCTTTCTTGGACATATTTTAGAAAATGGTACGATTAGTCCCTCAGCAGAAAAGACAAAAGCTGTTTTAAATTTTCCAAAGCTCCAAACTGCTAAAGATGTTCAATCATTCCTATGCCTAACAGGTTATTTTAGAAAATTTATTAAAGATTATGCAATCATTGCACGACCACTAAAGTGATCTTCTTAGAGACAATGTTCATTTTGCTCCAGAGCAGCAACAAGCTTTCCAAACGCTGAAACAAGCCTTCCAAACGCTGAAACAAGCCTTATCAACTGAACCTGTGCTACACCTTTTCAAGCACCTTTACAGCTTCATTGCGTCAAAAGGAGTTGGCGCAATTCTTTTAATGCAATCTGATTTAGATGACAGCCTATAATAAGAGCCACAAGACATCTCCACGAGAAGAAAAATATTCATCATACAAATTAGAAGTTTTAGCTATAGCTATAGCACTTAAAAAATTTCGTCATTACCTCTTAGGCACAAGTTCAAAATTTTCACCAATTGCCAAGCTTTCCAAAAGACTATGTCAAAAAAAGAACTGCCACCTAAAATTGCTAGATGGGCAATGTTACTAGAAGATTTCGACTACGAAATAATACACAGACCTGGAAAACAGATGAAGCATGTCGACGCTCTTAGCCGATATCCTGTCATGACAATCCAAGTTGACGAAACAACCCAGAAAATCTGCCATGCCCAACCCAAAGATGAATTAATAATTACCGTTAAAATAATAATTACACAGAAAAAGTATTTGTGCTTATAGGTTTAATTCTGATTGCTATTTCAAATATTTAGATTGTTTGGATTATTCTCATAAATTGTTTGGATTATTCTCAAATGGTTAAATTTTTATAATATTCTACTTCTTTCTCATAACGGTACATTAATAATTGTTTTTTAATAAATGCCTGTTTTTTTTTTTTTTTTTTTTAATTTACTATCAATGTTATTTTCCAATAATTTTTACCTTAAAATATAGAAAGAATTTTTCAAGCTATTTATAAAAAAGAATTTTTTTTGTTTACTTTCTATTGAAAAAAAAATGTGTACGCTGAAATTGTCTCATAACATGCCTTTAATTAATATTTATAAATAACAAATTTTTCTGATATTTAAATAATAAGTGAAAATTACTTTTTGAAATATACTCATGAAATATAATGACGATAATTTAAGAAATTGTTGTTAAAAACGTTGCACAGATTTAATTATATACATATATATTTTGTGTATTANATTTTAGAAATTATCCACTTAATAGGAATCCTGAAGCAAACTTACATGAGGTATAATATATTTTAAATAAAACTAAATTAGATTTCTAAACAGTCTTAACTACTTGAACTCTCATGTAACTGTGAAAGCGTTCATAATTATTATGGGTCTTTCTTAGTTGAATATATATATTAGGGATAAAAATCTCTCTACTCTAGCCAGTCAAAAAGCAGAGTTGCGTTTCCGATTTCACCATCAAGGAAAGAGAGTTAATAAAAATGGAATTTTAAAAGAAATTCTAAATTACAGAGCAAACCATTGTTATATAAACTTTAAAAAAATTGCAATCATCCTTAAAAAGAAATCTTTTATGAGTTCCCTGATTATTTGAACTGTAAAAAGATTTTATGTGAATGAAATTTTAATTCATTGTTTTTTTAAACTTCCAGAAAAATAAAGATGCCTAGACAAAAGCTAGCACAAAAAAAAAGAGCAAGAGTAAGTTGTGGTTTGTTTTTATTAAAATAATAGGCATAATTTTGTTTTCAATGCTTTTCATACTAATGTAGAATGAATTCCTAAAAGTATGTCTGATAAAAGTTTAAAAATGAAAAATTTGACAGTGACCTTAAAACTGTTCCACACATTTAGAGTTTTCAAAAAATTTGCTCGTGCAACTCTAATGGATTTTGATAGTTTCTCAAGATCTACTGGCTTAATTAAAATTCTCCTGGTTTTTGTACATATTAGAAAATTTCATAAAATTGAGTCTAATTTCTAAAAAAATCCCTATTGAAATGGAAATATGTATTATACAATATTATTATTATTATTATTACAATCATTTACAATACATTTTAATAAGTAATACATGAGGAAGCGAACCTCGTTTATAAAAATCAATTCAAAACTTTTTCTGTTCAAAAATGGTCAGTTTATTTTTATTCTGAACTCTTTTTAAATAAATTTTAAAAAAAAATATTTTAACTATGTTTGATAAATTAAATGTCTATTAATATTCGAAATTATGAAAGAAATAATACATAACGTTTCAGGTATGCTTAACGTGAAATCACAACTGAAAAATATTGTAATTTTTCTATTTTGATGACTATAAAAATCCTTAAAATTCTTTACGTGTAAATATTTAGTACATTATGCTACAATATTCATGAAGTTTATGTTGTTTAGTAAAATCTACTGGATTTTTTCCTATCCATGTTGGCAGCTAAGCTTACTATGCATATTGAAAATCATTTCGTGATAAATAGAATATTCAGATTCACCCTCCTTTAAAAAAACAAAAAAAAACAAACAAATATACAAAAAAAAAAATGAGGATCATTGTTTAGGCCTTTAGTTTGAGAGAGCTCCTGTATAGTTAAACATCAATGTTTATAAATCGTTGAAGTTCGTTATTTGTTGTTTTCATTGAAATGAGAACCAAAAAAGGATTTGGAAGTCTGAAATTTAAAACCAAACTCTTTTTAATCCCTCTTACTTTTAAATATGGAAAGGGGTTAGCAAGGAGACTTGTTTCATTTCGCTTAATTTGTCTTAAATTAAAAAAATTTTTAAAATTTTTTTTAACTGAAAAGTTCTATAGGAATAGCTGCAGCTAGTATGTATAACTTCGGTTCTAAACCTTCAAAATATGAGGGCTCCGGGAATCACCAGCATCGGAGCAAATTCTCAATAGTTTAGTCAAGATAAAGGTCGTGAGACCTCAAAATTATAATTTTGCTAGGGAGATTTTCCCATCCTGATCTGTGTCAGAATAATGCCAAGTCTTGACAACTTCCGAGCAGCGGCCTGCAAGAAAAAAAAAAATCCAGCTCAAAAGGTATAACTCGTAGCCACCTCCAGGCAAACATCTACATGCCCTTTTTTTAAAAAAAATTTAAAAATTTAAAATCTAGTTATCGATTATAGCAATTGTAGTTGGCACGACAGATCACGATACGGAAATCCTACATCCATTTCGCTATTATGTCATAATTCGGAAGTTAACAGAAAAAATCGATTTCTATTTTTCTTTCTTTCTTTTTTTTCCAGATATATAAAATTCGTTTTCGATTATTCCATGAAACAAATATTTTCAAATAATAATTTTTTATTATTTTATTTAATAATAGCAGCAACAAAAAAATAATCAGACAAATTTCGCATCTTCTAAAACTTGAAAGATAAAACGCCTAAATTTATAAAGAAATGAATTTTAAAATCGTGAGTAAAAATGCTTTCGTTTGGTTTTAAAATAGTTTTGGACTCTTTTTATTACTTTGAAGGATTGTGCATTTATTTATTTATTTTTCTACTTTCAGGAAGAAGATGTTTCTTCTGATGAAGAACATAAGTAAGTAAGCTTTTACTAGACTTTAATTACACACGTTCTTCAAAGGGTAAAATGTGACTATTATAAATAGTCAAATAATTTAACTTTTAACTACTATTGGTGAATATATTGAAATAGTTGACTGTGTTAAACAGTTAAAATTTCATTGTGCCTTGTTATAAATTAATAAAATTTATTTTTCCTGAGATATCCCATGTGAAATATTATTTATTATGCTGTGAGTCATGCACATTCTGACGTAATTTTTATCTAGGCAATTTTAAATTACAAAATACTTATTTGTCTGAAAAATCGATCAGTTTTTGAGGAAAAAGACACCATTTTTGAAACTTGGAAACTATTTTACTTATAGTGTTTGTATTTCACACTTCGTCATTTAAAATCACAGATTTAAAATATTTTCTGTTTTTGTATTATCTATAACTCAAATTTTTTCACCCAACAATATATAAAATATTAAAAAACAATTAAAGGAATTTTTTTGTGAGGNATTTTAAAAAAATTTACAAGTTTAAAATCCAGTTATCGATTATAGCGATTGTAGTTGGCAAGACAGATCACGATACGGAAATCCTATATCCATTTCGCTTTTTGCCTATTATGTCATAATTCGGAAGTTAACAGAAAAAATCGATTTCTATTTTGCTTTCTTTCTTATGTATAAAATTCGTTTTTGATTATTCCATGTAACAAATATTTTCAAATAATTCATTTTTTTATCATTTTATTTAATAATAGCAACAAAAAAAAATAATCAGACGAATTTCACATCTTCTAAAACTTAAAAGATAAAACGCCTAAATTTGTAAAGAAATGAATTTTAAAATCCTGAGTAAAAATGTTTTCGTTTGGTTTTAAAATAGTTTTGGACTCTTTTTATTACTTTGAAGGATTGTGCATTTATTTATTTATTTTTCTACTTTCAGGAAGAAGATGTTTCTTCTGATGAAGAACAAACGTAAGTAAACTTTTACTCTTATTAAATATTTAAAAATAAAAAAAATTGTTTTTAGGAACATTTTGTCAATATGCAACAAAATTGATGATTACTTGGATTGAAAAAATAGTCATTGATATTTGAAAGAAAGAACCAGGCTCTTTGATTCTGTTTATATACATTTTTTTTTAAAATTTCAATATAAAGGTTTAGTTTTATATCTGGTAATATTTACTACTTTTGGAATCAGCTTAATTTCGATCCTGTTAGCGAGAGATCGAGACAAAGAAATTTTTTTTTCTCAACTATAGGTAAATAGTCAATCCTTAAAAAAATCACCAAAAAAAGTAAGTAAAATTTCGATAATTTTAGCAGAAATTGCATGTTTGGATGCAGTTTGCTGTAAGTTAAAAAATAAAATTCAAATGAAAATTTTTTTTCGTCTGCCTTGCGACATTTTTTTATACTTTATTAAGTCATATTCTTGTCATTTCAGTGGAATAAAATTCCAAGTGACATTCAGAAATTATCTTCAGGCCGTAATTCCAAAATCACTTAAACTGTTACTTTAAGACCTTCTCTCATTTAGTTTTTAAATTGATCACAGTATAAAAGAGTTTTAATTGCTTTTTTGGTCTAAAGATTTTTTGGTCTTTAGTTTAACCTTTCCTAGCAACATGCTTGCATATAAATACGTGCTCATATACGAGTGTTACTAAATATTCGTTTTATTAAAAATTGACAGCTGAAATTTTGTGCATTTTGTCACTTCACGCGTATTGATATCCTTAAGCTACGTTACTGATTTGGCATGCACGATTTTTATATAAATTTTTTTGTTCTTCTAGCATCCACGCTGCAGGCCCTTCAAAACGCCGCAGGACATCCTCTTCATCAAGTGAAGACGCTGACTCCAGGTAAATAAATCAACAATTGGTAAATAGTCAATCCTTAAAAAAATCGCGAAAAAGTATTTAAAATTTCGATTATTTTCTCACCAATTGCATGGGATGCAACTTAGTGTAAGTTAAAAAATAAAAATTCAAATGATACTTTCTTTTCCCGTCTGCCTTTCTCTACACTTTATTTGATTTCAAGTTAAGTCATATTCTTGTCATTTCAGTGGAAGAAAATTCCAAGTGACAATTAGAATAATCTTGAGTTTGATATTCCAAAATCCCATTAACCTGTTGCTGATCTCTACCTTCACCAATATAAAAGAGTTTTAATTGTTCGTTAATATCTTTGGTCTAAATATTTTTTAGATATTTTAACAGGTTTAGTCCTTGTTTGCAATATGTATGCATATAAATTTGTGCAAATAAATGTACTATGTTTATTTTATTAAAAAATGACGACAGAAATATTTTATGCGTTCTGAAACTTCATGGGTATTGGCACTTTTACTCTACTGATTGGCATGCATGATTTTTATATTAATATTTTTGTTCTTTTAGCGAGCCCCTGTTACCCATCTGTTCCTGCTGTACTGGGAGAAGGAAACGTTCTTCCTCTTCCGATGAGGCTCCTCTCGATGAAGAAGTGAGTTTAATTCTTCTGAATTATAATGGATCACTTTTAAGGGCTCTCAATTATGGATCACTTGAGGGCTCTCAATTTACCTACCTATAAGTACTTGAAATCATGAAAACTGACTGATAATTCTATAATTCTTCTGAATTATAATGGATCACTTTTAAGGGCTCTCAATTATGGATCACTTGAGGGCTCTCAATTTACCTACCTATAAGTACTTGAAATCATGAAAACTGACGCTCGGCATTAAAAGTATTCTAACATTTCATATTTTTAAATTGAATAAAGGTGGCAATAGGAAAAACTAATTGCCACTTTCGATGCATAAGTCTTAAGAAAAAATTTTATGATATTTCTACAAATTTGAAACGAAAACTTAGTTATTGGATATATTTTTTAAGTTTTGTTTTGGTTTGTGTATTTTTTGCTTAGTTTTAAGTGTGTTGAATTTGTTTTTATTTTCAACGAAGTAGGGGATGAATACATTTTTGGAAGTTTATGATTTGGTTTGTAATAGTTTTAAATAACTTTACGCTAGTGAGGACTTAATTTTTGAAACTTTCATACAAAATATTATATTAGCTCTTTTTTTTTCCGCAAATTTATTATTTTTTTTATCAATAAACTACCACTATTTGAAAAATGCTTGAAAAATATAATACCCCAATATAGTTTTATATGGATTTAAATGAAGTTTTTAAACGGCATTATTATTATTATTTGCAATATTCCTTACAACCTAGAGTTATTTATTAAATTATATTCAGTTTGAAAAGAGGCTTCCAAATTCTCATTGACTTTGTCTCGTTACACAGGCCTTGACTGTAATCAAGTGAGACATAAAGACTTTGATTTAAACAATATAAAACTACAATTAATAAAAAATTGTCATTCGTTTGCCTCACATTAGTTTCTCCCACTACCATTCAAAAGAATTGTTTCTCTTACAACTCTGGCTCTTTTACTCAAATTTATTACGTTGTTTTCTCAAAGTGTTATTACAAATTTAAGATGGGCCGTGCAGAGGTTTTTTTTTTTCCTTTTCGAATCAGCTTTTATGTACAGTCCGCAAAAAAAAAGATATCACCCTGAATAACTTTCGTTCTAATGATCGGATTTTCACGAATTAAAAGTCAATCTTAATGGTTCTTGGGGGTGACCTCAAATATGCTAATTAATTAGTGCTAACTATTAATTAAGTTACGAAATCAGACACAAAAACGTACTTTCTCTGATAAAACATATTTTTTTTTTATATATTTGGAATCTATACACTTGAATTATGGAGGGGTAGACAAAATTTAAAAAAAATTGGGTCGTAAATTGGGTAGGAATAAAGATTTATATATTTGGCGATAGTCCAGAAAACCGCCAAAAAAAGTCGCCAGAGCAAATGAATATTTTAAGATAACCCATTGACTAATTCAAAAGCTTAATGCTTAATTTTACTAGGTTGCTAGGCAACCTAGTAAAAGAACTCTGAATGTAAAAGAAAAATGAAATAATATTCTGTGATTGTTGGGAGAGGTTTAATTAATTGTTAATAGAAAATATCTCGAAGTTTCTAGGCAATAGACAATTTTTAAGCTGATTTCTGTCAAGAAAGCAAAAAAAAAAAAAATATTATTTTAATCTCTTTTGAATCTTTGAAAGAAAATTTTAATTGATTTATAAATTCTTTATGATTTTCTAAGTTTCTAGAATTTAAATACACAAACTTTTTATCTGATATTATTTAGATATGTTGTTTTTGCTATATTTATTCGAGGATTTCATTCTAAAATCAAATTGACATTATTATAGCAATATAAAAAATTTTAGGGATAATCATTTTTACAGATTTAATAAAGTCTTCTAGGCAAGAAAGTTTGAAGAAACAAAAAGTGCTTGAAAAATAAAATGTAGATTGTATAGTAATTCTAATACACATTCACAAAGTTTTCTAGGATATTTCTTTTTCCTATAACTCAAGGAATTGCTGAATGTTTAGTGGCATTTTAAAAACATTGAAACATGTTATGTTTATGTTATAGGAGTTCAAATGATTGAGTTGACTTAAAATTTAATTAATACTTTCTTACTTTAATTACATTAATTAATTTAATTTAATACTTTTCTTAATTTAATGACAACCAGCAAAAAAATTTCTAGTTGCGCTACAGTCTTAAAGGAAAGAAAATATAAATGGAAAGAAAAATAAAGGAAAAGATTCTTACCAAAACATTTATTTTTCTTATTAATTTAGATATTTAAAATAGTTTGTCAGCTTACTTTGAACTCGCTCATTTCATATCATTTTGAAAAAAAGATAAGACAGAAAGACTAAAAAGATGAGAAAAAAGATAGCAAGACAGAAAAATATTGCTCACTAAAATCGGATCTTGCTCGTTAAAAGCGACTTCTGTTCGATAGACTTAACATTGATCCAAACAAATATTCCCGTTTCCCTCGGTAAATCAGAGTTCTCATTAAATCCGAGCTCGTTATAAACGAGTTCGACTGTTTATTCTTTTTTCGAAAAAAATTGTATGCTTAGTAAATAATCAGCTATTTTGCATTAAATAATTGTAAACAGCGGAATGTTTTTAATTTCTTAACAAGGTTTTATTCTTAGCTAGCAGACGATAATTCTTTAAAAAAAAAAAAACTTGACTGTAATTTAAAAAGGAACTTCACTTTAAAGAAAACCTAAATTAAACTACTAAAAAATTGATTAGTATATTAATGAAGAAATAATAAACGTAGTAGGGTAAAGAATAAGATTTTTAAAAATGTTAACATTTAATTAAATAGTTGGTAAAATAGTTCTGCGAAACACTTCCGGACAGGTGATTAAAAAATTACTTCTAACATTAAGACGATATATACGATGTTGAGAAATTTGCGATGATGTGAGATATGCTTAAATATGTTTACTACGTATTTTTATTAATATTTATAAAAAATATATTCAAGAAATTGATAAATATTTCATTCCAAATCTATTCATACGTATGTATATTATTGAAATTGTATCAGTTACTGAGAAGAAAATACTAAAAAATAATCACATTAACTAAGCACAATCTGGTGTATAATCATATTCTATCAGAAGCATGCTTTTATAAAACTCTACATTCGTTGCATAAAATGTTTTTTATTCAATAAGATGTTTTATTCAAATTTCTTTACTAAATTTAAATTGCAAATGGAATTTTAGACGATTAAAAAAGAAACATCGAATTTTATAATTTTAAAAAAATAAAAATAAAAAGATTTGCAAACGATTATTAGCGAAAAAAATATGAATGAAATTTTCACTATGCGCGCTAAGTTAAGTTCCTCGTAAGTTTATCACATTTTAAAATTAATCGGCCCATTTAATTATTTCTTCATTGTCGCCAAATTATTTTTTTTTAAATAATTAATTTTGATTTTTCTCATCTTCTAATAAATAAAAACAGTTGAAACTTTTAGATTTTTCAATTGAAAAATATGTCGATTAAAATGGTATAAAAAAATTCATACCTTATAATTCAACTTTTTTTCATCCTCACTTTAATTAAATAATAAATAATTATTAAAAATTATTTTTTTCACGTAATTATCTTTGGGTAAATGAGTTTTATGAGTGGGGGCAGTTTTTATTTGAATTGCTTCATTAGTTTTTAAAATATGACTGAAAATGCAAGCGATATTAACATTAAGGGGTCCAAACTTTGAATCGCTCTCCTGACCAAACTATGGGGACCACATTTCCCAGATTGCGGCTACCCCCTATATTTTGAAGATGAAAAATCGAAATATGTAAAAAAAATGTATGCTTATTCAGAGAAAGTACGTTTTTGTGTCTAATTTCGTAACTTAATTAATAGTTAGCACTAATTAATTAGCATATTTGAGGTCACCCCCAGGAAGCATTAAGATTGACACTTAGTTCGTGAAAATCCGATCATTAGAACGAAAGTTATTCAGGGTGATATCTTGCGGACTGTACATAAACCATTCTTCCCCTTGATCAACATATACATTGATTACTATCTAATTAACTGCAATTCTACTAAAAATAATTTTATAACTTTATTCAAGAGCACGTGAATAGCAATATATTGCAACAACTAAAAGAAATGTACTTGACTGCTCAAGAGCAATGTGTTTAATTTCAGTTTTCTTTTTCAGCAGTGAAAAATAATCTATTTATGTAATTTTCTAATATGAATTCAATTTAATTTTCAGGAGAGAAAAATCAAACGTTCCAGGAGAGAGTACCATGACCTGTAAGTAGTCAACCGATTTTATAATATTTTAATGCTGAAAATATTAAAATTCTTAAATAAACTCTTTTCAACCAACATAAATCTTTGTTTTGACTGCTGATTCGCACACTACATCTATTTCAAAAGTGTAGTAAACTTAAAAGTTAATATTTTTCTGGGGATTTTTCATTTTTAAACTCAAATTTTTTGGAGTTCGGAACCATTGCCATATTTGAAGAGTTTCAATCTTTTGTATTAAATTAGACAGTTTGTGTTTGGACTTGAAACTTTTCACACTTATTGAGAGTTCGTTCAATTTTATTAAGTTTATAATACAGTATACTCGAACATGATATTTTTAAATTTTATTTATTATTCAAACGTCACAATCTTGAGCATGGATTTTAACAAAACATGATGTGATCTCTTTTCAGGGGTGCTTTCGGAGTACACATGGAATATGTACAACAACATCAGGGAATTGGAGGTCAAAGGTCAGCAATTCTTGAAGCTATTGAAGAAGAAAGAAGACGGCTGGCTGTAAGTTTTTTTGTTTTTTTTTTAACTTTTTTATAAATGTTCACAGTCCATTGGACGCGCCCCACAAATGAGCCGCGGAAAACGCTGCATAAGTATTAAATTTAATTAGTAAATTTTCTCTTAAGTAATTTGGATTAGTTTGCTGAATTTGATAGGTATCAGGGCTCGAAAAAA